TTTTGCCCCTTGGGTAACTCTAGCTTGTGCTTCAGGACTTGGCACAGACCCCGCCTCCTCTCTTCGGCCTTCCCTCGTCAGCACTCCCACCTCATCCCACACTGACCACCCATTGTCCTCTGCTTCCATTAGCTGTGCTTTGCTCTGTCTCTCCCTTGAGACCCCGGGCTTCAGGAGCTTCAGACGTGCCCTCTATGCAACAGCAGAAGACCCTCACCATATCTGGCTTGAAAATGCAACCTCTCCAGGCTCCCATTCTCCCTTGGGCATATTCTCCCATTTTCCACCTGCTCCATATTTATACTTTCTGCTGTTCTCTTCTGGGGCAGATGGAGCACTAAAACTTGAGCCCCTTTTCAAGATTCTATAAATTATTTTCTCCTCTTTCCCAGTCCACTCTGTCATCCTTGCCCAAGTTCTGTCTCCTCCCTGTCCCCACCCACCTCCACTGCCGTACTCAAGGCACCTGCCTCCGACATCCACCCAGGCCCAGGTAGAGAGTTCTCTGTTTCTCCCGTGGTCTCCTGCCTCCTGCCATCCCTCCTGGACACTGCTCTTCTTTCTGCCCCTCCCACCCCCGGCCACTCACCCATCCTCCCCACCCACCTGGAAAGGCTTTGTCTCTGCCTAAGCCTTCTGGTGCTACTTTGCTGGGGCCACTCCCCTCTATTGAGAGTAGGTGTGCCCTGTTTGGTGTGCTGTGGGTGTGGCTAGCTCCCATTAAGGCCTAGAACTCCTCCAGGACAGAGACTAGGTCCTGCTTAACTCGGACCCCCCAAACCTAGCACAGACGTGACATTCACCCAGTGTTTGCCAGCTGACTCTGGCATCTTTTGGGGAATTTTCAGCACCAGAGTTGTGGACAGAGACCCTTCCCATTAAACTCTTTCCAGGCTGGCTGGGGAGGAGACTCCAGATGATCTTTATCTTTCCCTCCTAAGCTCCTCCACCCAAATTGAGCAAGGCTGGGTCTCACCGGGATGCCTCCCTGCTCCTCATCTCCCAATTCTAACTGCTTTACTTCCCCTTCCCCCAAACCTGCCCCCTCTCCTCCAGCCCTGAAGCGGGGTAGATTAATGATCAAGAGCTCAGATTCCAGCACTTATTACCTCTGTCATCTTAGACTACTGAGACTACTACAGAGAGCTACTTAGACTCTGTGCCTCAATGTTGTCATCTGCAAAACGGATACACAACTATGGAATAGTAGCTG